GATTCTGTACTAACATGCTTAAATTATATTTGAGGGATTGTTCAATAGAAAGAATTTATTGATTATGTGCTGTTATTTCAATGTCTTTTTTACATTCAGTAATACTAATGTGTAAGGCCTTCTCAGTTTAGCTACCGTGGTTTGTTTGGAAAAATGTTGCCCATCTCTGAAGAGAGATTGCAGAGCATGGCAGGTCCTAAAAATGGAGCCGTTGCCATTTGACTGTTGCATACCAGTGCAGACAGCTGCTTGTCCCCTCCGCTTCTTAGAACTCATTTGTTCATCATTCAGCAAACGTTTGAGTACTACCATGTGCCAAGGATTATGCTCGGCACCACTATTAGTTGTTCCGGAACTTAATGCTGCTTTGGCACTATTCACAAATGCCTGCTTAACTGGTAGTAAGATCTTATCCTTAAACCATCCATGTCCTTAACCTTTTGGAAAACAACCAGATTGAGAAATAAAGAAGAGTGTTTGAACGTTGGGGAAAGGATCTTCAAACCTCATACAGTGCTCCACCAGTGAGAGTCTGTTGGCTTAGTAAAATTATCGATTTATCGAACTGGTAACACCCTTATCCCAGCAACTCTTAAGGGCCTCAGTGCTTGCAGCATAACAACAGTATCCTCTTAATTAGCTAAGGTGCTGTGGGGAACAGCTGACCTTTGTTGGTTATATTGTGGGCTCCTCACATTGTCTGCCCCATAGGAGGAAAGGAGACAGACCATTCAGAACTGCTCTGTACATGAAGGGGAGGGGACCAGAGACTCTTCTTTTTTTCCTCTTAGCTCATACTGCAGGCTGGGCCCAAAGATTGACTTTTCTTGAGGTGTTGTGTTGTTTATGTTTGCTTTTTGTGAAGGCAGTAGATCAAGAACTAACATTAATTAGCTTTCTAATTAAGATGAGAAGCTTATAGGTCACTCTTAAAATTAAGCTACCCCAAATTTCCAGTATAGAAGAATTCCAGATCATTTATGTGAATACTCTATCTTTAAGGAAGTGGAATATAACTTTCCACCTGTTAAGAGTAGGCCACCTGTAGTGACTTCCTTCCAAAGAGTGTAGATTATTATTCTGTAGTAGAGAAAGGGAGAAAAAGAGCAACTCTACAGTGGAGAAAGTGGACAGATGCTGCCTCAACCAGATGGTCATGGTTAACATTGACAGATAAGTCATGTTGATAGTGTGCACCCTTGATGTGATGAAATGACACTGTCTTTGAGACCTCCTCCTCAAAACTCATAATCCCAGTTGTAATCATCAGAAAACATCAGACAAATTACAAACAAGGAACATTCTATAAAATTAACTGATTAGTACTCCTCAACATCATCAAAAACAAGGAAAGTCTAAGAAACTGTCACAGTGAAAGGAAGCCTGAGGAGCCGTGACAACTGAGTGTAATGTGGTATTCGGGAGCAGAAAGAGTGCATTAAATAAAACTAAGGAAATTGGGGTGAAGTATGGTATTGTGTTAAAAACTGTCAGTACTGGTTCCTTAATGGTCATAAATGTATCATCCTAGTGTACAGTATTAACAGTAGGGGTGAGGAACTCTGTACTGTCTTCACAATTTTCTGTAAATCTAAAATCTAAAAGTTTATTTAAAAATGGCAAAACCAAAAACTAATCTGACCACTCCTAGCTAGCTGTTGACTTTTGCATTAATTTTGATTTGGGGGTATCTGCAGTATTTCTCTAGAACTTACAGCATTTAATCAGGAGTTGATTTTGTTATAATTCAGTTATCATAAGGTAAGTTTAGTCTTATATTCTTTTAAAAGTTTATTAAAACAAAAAGTATATTTCAGAATAAATTTTATCAAGACCAATCTTAGAAAGATTTAGTTATGTGAAAGGGAGCCTTTTTTTTATTTGAATGCTGATGACTTTGAATTTGTGAAAATTGTGAAGTGGATAGATTTGTATGAAAGGGGTATAAGGGCTAGATTTGGAAGGTGGCTGTTACAGATGTTCAGAGGAAAGGTAATGAAAGTCTATATAAAAGATATTAGGGCCCCTAGGAAATAATAGTATAGTCTTAAAAGGGAAAGTCAGCAGAACAAATTGAATGCAGGAGTGAGAAGGGAGGAGAGGGTCTAGAATGATTCCCATATTTCTGACTTGGGTGGCTGGCTAAATGATAATAAGAATAACCAAAATCAAGAATACAGGAGGAATTCTTGGGAAGGGGAAAAGGGAAATTTGTATTGTGTACTTCATAGATCTATAAACTTAGAACTGTAATAACACTTATATTGAAGAGCTTTAGATTATACTAAAACATTTTACCTACATTATCTCATTTTAGTTCTTACAGAACTCTTTTCATATAGGCCCATAGAGATGACTAACACTAACATTAATAAGAATGTCAAATTATTTTTCATATGACGATGTACTGAAAACTGACAGCATTCTCCTGATTCTTTCAGAGGGTAAATTTGGGTGCTGAGGTTCTTGTCACAGAACTTTTTCTACAGATAAAGCTGGTGATACACTAACAGATTATTTTTCTCATTCTTTTTCCAGACTTCATAGAGAATAATTCTTCACTCTCTTTTTGACCAATAGTTATTTTCCAAAAAAAGAAAAAGACATGATTTTAATCTTTTTACTTATAATTCTGTTCTGGTGATTTTTCTATCTATGTATTACCCTGATTTGTCTTCTGGATCGCCTCTTCTACAAATCTCTTTTTCTGTAATTATCCATTTGTTTTATTTACTTAATTATTATCTGGTGTATTCACCTTATTTGCCAATATAACACTGTTTCTATGGGAAATCAAAAATTACTGTGATTCATCTCTAATACCATGGGGCTCAACCACAATAAGAACCTAAAAAAGTGCCCCCCTATACCTTTACCTTATTATTTTTAATGGTTACATTTTGTCTTTAATACAACTTTTTCACATGATTTAATAATTGTATCTTCAAAACACTCCAAAAGAGTCTTGAAACTGTAGATTCTGTTTCTCACAAGGTCAGCTGTGTAAGGTAGTAGATAATGTATGACTTTAGTTTCATGATTATGCCAAATCCAAACACTTGGTAGTATATTGTTGTACCGTATACTTAACTTTTCCCCGTTAAGAATTTGAGTCAAAATTTACATAATTTCTAAAATTTATTTTAATCCACTGATGGGGAGGTTTAAAGTCCTTAGAATTACTGAAAATGAACTAAAGCAAGAATCTTCAGCTTTGTATGAGGTCTGTGAATGGAACTTGGGTTCCCTCAAAATTATATGTAAAGATTTTTATGTGCATTTTTTGGGGAGGGAATAGTTCCTGGCCTTCCACAGATTTCCAGAGAAGTCTGTCATTCATGGACAGTGATTTTAACTTCAGTAACAACCACTGAAGGCTGTCTTTTAAGTTTTGATTCTCAGTATGCCTTGGGTCATTAACCTGTTTGAAAATCTGATAAAAGCTATAAGCTTCCAGACATGAGTACAATTTTAGAGATTCGTGGATTCTCCAAAGCGTGTTCTCAGATGTCCTGGACTCCTCCGTGGGATTCATGGACCGCTGCCGTCAAGGAAACATGTTCCGCATCACGTTAGACTTCCCTGGTGGCTCAGGTGGTGAAGCATCTGCCTACAGTGCGGAAGACCCAGGTTCAATCCCTGGGTTGGGAAGATCTGCTGGAGAAGGAAATGGCAACCCACTCCAGTATTCTTGCCTGGAAAATCCCATAGACGGAGGAGCCTAGTAGGCTACAGTCCATGGGGTCGCAAAGAGTCAAACATGACTGAGCGACTTCACTTTCACTTTAGTTTCATTATTTTAAGAGATTTAACAGTTTCTTTTACACACATTCTTATTCTGCATCTTCAGACTGTTTCTCCATACGTTTAAAATATTTCTGTTTCAGATTTTTCTCTCCTGTGTATCACCTTAGGAAAAACTATCCCAGTATGTATCTTACTGTTAACTTCTTGCCGTTTTACACTCTACTGACACAATTTTAAAATCTTTTCTGCATTTACTGTCTTTTAGGTGTGGGCGAACATTCAATATCTAATACATATATCAATGTTGTCTGTGCCAAGTCCAGTACTGTTTATAGAAGCCGTTCATTATCTCAGGAGTCAGTGTTAAAAACACAACAAAACAAAACAAAAAACAGTTCATGGACAGATATTAAGGGAAGTTTCCCCCAAATTTTTCAAAAATAAAAAAAAATAATTATTTTTAGATTTTCCTCTAATTATGAGTTTTCCACACAAAACCTTTGTCAGGAGAAGTTACTGATGAATGGTAAGAAAAGTTGCTTCTTATTTTACTTTCCTTTTTGAGGGTAGGCTAGCCTTTTCTTTACAAAGCAGGGTTTCTCAGTAATTAGTTCCCCTGATCTTTTATGGTTTAATCTTTGGTGCTCTTTAGGATATCTTACTTTCTTTTTCTTTTTTTCTTTGGAGATATTTGGTTATCATATTTAAATTTTAAATATTTGAGTGCCATTTTGTGTGTTTTGATATCAACTAGATTTAGCACTACTAAATGACATTTATCAGATTTTTAACTCTGCAGAATTCATGATAATCTGCCAACCACATAAAATTTGTCTTAATTATCACTGTTTTCCCTGATTAACTCTTGTTACCTGGTTGTTCTTCATTAACATTTTCATTAATATATACTACTCTAATTGAACCTAAGAGATTCCACAGATTCAAACTATGTCCTTATTAGGGTATATTTCACCTTTGTTTTTTTTCCCTCTCAGAATGTTCCCCATTGTAGCACTCCCATTCTATCTTGATTCTACTCTCCAAACAGTGATATTTGTTTACCTCTTAAAATGTCAAAGGGCTGTGCATTTGAGATTTAGAAATTTTGAATTTCTGTTTGTCTCTTAAGGGCATAATTTTCTTTAAAGAGGGATATTTTCATTTGCTCTTTAGAGTTTCTTTTGAATATTTTTTCTAAAGAAAATAATAAAATATTTAACTAAATATTAAATAAATATAAATTTGCCTTTCAGCGCAATGCGTGTTTTACTGTCTAAATTACCGAGACCATGGATTGTGGATGAGAAGAAAGATGATGGTTATACTGCCTTGCATCTGGCAGCCCTTAATAATCATGTAGAAGTGGCTGAACTGTTGGTGCATCAGGTAGGAAAAGCAGTTCAGTAATTATTAACAATTTTGGGTCATTGCTAATCATTGATTTATCATTATTTCATCAACTACTTATGGATGAGATGGTTGGATGGACATGAGTTTGAGCAAGCTCCAGGATTTGGTGATGGACAGGGAAGCCTGGTATGCTGCAGCCCATGGGGTTGCAAAGAGTCAGACATGACTGAGTGACTGAACTGAACTGAACTACTTACTAGTAGGTTACAGTAAGATCCCATGATGATGCAAATTCAGCTGTGGTATGAATTTAGTCTTCTGCCTGACAGTGGTGCTTCAGTGGAGGGAAGTAGTAGTGGGGGTGTGAGTGTGGATCCTTCACGCCTCCAGTATTCTCTCTGCACAGTCTTCCCGAGTTGGTCCAGCAAAATGGCATCAACTTAAAGGGATTTTCCAGAATCACTGCCACTGTTGTGGAAGTGTCGCTCAGCTATATCATTAAGAACCAGTATGCTGATGTCTAAACCAGTGTGGTGAGTTGCTACCAGGTGACACCAGGCTGCAGTTAGGATCTCGGGACTCAGTTCTCAACAACTGCTGGACCCCTTGAACCTGTGACTGGGTAGCAGGGTAGGCTCACCTTAGTTATTTCATTTATCTTAGGAATAAGATACCTCTACATTTTTATGAGCTTGGATTTTGAGGGAAACCTATTGATTGCAATTTTGATGTTTTGGTATATTCAGCAAAATTTTTAAATGCTTCAGCCAAGCACATGCCATAGGGAAGCACTAAAGTTTCCAAAGAATTATCTGTGACTCCTGACTTCAAGGAACTTACAGTCTAGTTAAGAAGATGAAATGGCAGGGAAATTTAGTAGATAAGTACATTACGTGTAATTAGGTCTTAGATCATAAGATGGACAGTCTGTACAAAGACATTTAAAGAAAGAAAGTTCAAAAGCTAAACTGCCTTTCCCCTGCCATTGTAAGCCTTTATTATTAAAGTTAATTCTCTTAGAAGTGTTGTTAACTATGATAAATTCCTTTTCATCCAAAATCCAAACTACTGACCTAAGCCAGTACCACACTGTCTTGGTTTTGCTTAGTCACTCTTGTATCCGACTCTTGCGACCCCATGAACTGCAGCCCGCCAGTCTCCTCTTGTTCATGGGAATTTTCCAGGCCAGAATACTGGAGTGAGTTACCATGCCCTCCTCCAGGGGATCTTCCCAACCCAGGGATCGAACCCAGGTCTCCTGCATTGCAGGTGGATTCTTTACCAGCTGAACCACCAGGGAAGCCAGAGAATGCTGGAGTGGGTAGCCTGTCCCTTCTCCAGGGGATTTTCCTGACCCAGGAATCAAACTGGGATCTCCTGCATTCTTTATCAGCCAATTCTTTATCACTGAACTACTGGGGAAGCCCACTGTCTTGGTTACTGTTGCTATATAGTAATCAGTAACTGAACTGAAGTAATAACTGTAGTAACTATAGTAATCAGTAACTGAAATCAGTTGGAGTAAGTTCTCTAACTTTGTTGCTTTTTCTCAGACCTACTTTAACATTCTAGGTCTTCTGAATTTCCAAATACAATATGAAGACTCATTAATACATTTTCAGGAAGTACTTACTTAAAATGAGCTTATGTCCGTGGCTCTGTAATGGAGATTAAAAGGGAGCTGTGTTTGACTCTGTATTGTCCTTTGTCCTATAACTGTCCTTAGGTGGAATCACCACAGTAAAAATAGTTTTATATTTGCCGTTCTATTTCAGAAAGTTTGCTGTCCCACCACTTCTTCCTGCTATCCACATCTGTTACCATATATTACAAGGTCCAGCCCTTGGAGGGGACATGGTCAGCAGTGCCCAGTGTTATGGGTTCCTCAGAGAGAGAGAATTTATGTGCTTCTCTCATGTCACATTTAACTGTAAGTCTTGTTGTTCTTTCAGGGTAATGCAAACCTGGACATCCAGAATGTGAACCAGCAGACGGCCCTCCACCTTGCTGTGGAGCGGCAGCACACCCAGATTGTGAGGGTAATGTGTCTACTAAAGTGAATCTTACCCTTTTAAATGATATGTTGTTAGGCTTCTCAGAAGGCGTAGTTAGAGGTAAAATTATGCTTTTAGGCTAGTATTTTACGTCAGTTGGGTAAAGGATTTTAATTCCTAATAGGAAAAATCTTAACTCTTATATTCAAAGTTTTTATAATTTTGTTGTCAGATTTGTACATTCCTGGCATATTAAATCAGAGAATTTCAAAGTAACATATACATTTAAAACATATACATATGTATATGTATATATACATATACTCCCTTTTAATTTTTATAATTGAGAATGAACTGTAATTAGAGGCTTTGGCTAGACATTTGCCAGACATTTCAAAGAAGCTGGCATACGTATTTTTATTTTAGTAATCTGGTGATTCCAGATCAAATACTTGAAAGATGATCTGTTTAAACTTTTTTGTAGAGCAGTGATTCTTAAAGTTTGGAGGCTGAAGCAGCAGCAATAGCATCATCTAGGGCTTTGGCAGAAAAGTAAATTCTTGGGCCCCATCTCAGACCAACCAGAGCAGAACCTCCAAGCGTGGGAATTAGCAATCTCTGGTTTTACAGGCCCCCACGTAATTCTGATGCAGATTTAAATTTGAGAAACAGACCTACAGAGATGTTTTATATAATCTTTTTGAAACACAGTGAACAAAAAAAAAGAGCAAAATAGTAACTTGCCAAACAGGTAGGACTATATGCTTGAGATTGATTTCTTTGTATGGTGTTTTTCTCAAACTCTGATAACATTTGCAGAAAGGTTAGGGAACTCGTTAAAGCAAAGTTTTATATTTACTGCTTAAAATATCTGTTGAGGTATATCAATTATGCATTGTACGTAAGAGATTGTAACTTAGCAAACACTTCACATTTATAATTTTTTAAAATTCTCTTGCCAGAAATTCTTGATTTCTCTAATGTTTGGACTTACAACCCTTATAACCATACGTTTGGAGAAAATTGACCAGAGGGAATGGAAAAAAATGCATATTTCTTTAAATAATAGAAGAATTTTGAGCATTGTGATTTGGTCCTATTGGAAATACTTAAAATATACCAACTCACATATCTGAAATTAAAAGGAGAGAAAAAAATGTTCTGAATTTCCTCCAGTTATTTTGATCTTAGAGTAGAATAATTAAGCTGCATATTGGTTCTTTTTTCTTTCTGCTGTCCCTGATTCAGTATGTTTGAATAATCAAGCTCATCATTATTTGTAAGGAGTCACAGGGATACAGAGTGGTGGCAAGCAAACACATAAATTAACTTTCGTGGCAGCCCTGTCAGATAGGGCTCTCACAGTGTTACTTTAATTTTAATTTTTTTTAGCTTTATTAAGTTATAATAGACAGGTGGTAATTGTATACATTTAAAGTGTACAACTTGGTATTTTGATCCAGGTATACATTGTGAAATAATCACCATAATCAAGCTAACTAACAGAGCCACCATCATATATAGTTTGTGTATTTGTGTGGTGAGAACATTTAAAGTCTGCCTTCTCAGCAAATTGTAAGAACAGGATACAATACCATGCAATGGGGGGTGCTCTCCAGAACAAATTCATCTTATGTAACTGAAACTTTGTTTCTTTAGATGTATTATAATTTCTTGTGTGTGGAATACTTTAGGAAAAAGAGACATTTTTCTCTTCTAGCTTTTGGTCCGTGCAGGCGCCAAGTTAGATATTCAGGATAAGGATGGGGACACTCCTCTGCATGAAGCCCTGAGACATCACACTCTGTCTCAGCTGCGTCAGCTTCAAGACATGCAGGATGTGGGGAAGGTCGATGCTGCCTGGGAGCCATCCAAAAACACGGTGAGATAATCGTCACTTCTGTGCCAGGAGGAGCATCTTTTAATGCAAGGTCTTATATTTATGGCTCATTTAACCTGCATCTGATCAGATATTGTACTTCATGAGAAGTACAAATGTAGGAATTTAGTTTATGAGCTAAACACTAGTAGTCAGTACTGACTGTATTGTTTGCATTCTTACTAAAAGTTGTTTGGTTCTCTTTATGCAACTTAAGCCATTCAGATAGGAGGGCTGTGGTGTCTTGTTGTGGTTTGGAGTTGCATTTCCTCATGACTACTGGTATTGAACATCTTTTCATTTGCAGGTTTACCACCCATATATATTTGACAAAGCTGTCACTTCAAACCTTAATTTATTATGTTGTTGAGCTGTTTTCCTACTACCAATCTGAATCAAGTTCCATATCAGATATGCGATATGCACATACATTTTCCCAGTCTGTGGCTTGTCTTTGTATTCTTTTAATGGTAGTTTTTGAAGCAATAGTTTTTTTTTTTTCCAGACTTTAAACTTTTTATTTGGAATCGGCGTATAGCCAATCAACAGTGTTGTGTTAGGTTTAGGTGAATAGCAAAGGAGCTCAGCCATACATATACATGTATCCATTCTCCCTCAGACCCCCTACCCCTCCAGTCTGGTACATGACATTGAGAAAATTCATGTGCTATATAGTAGGTCCTTGTTGGTTATCCATTAGGATAACATAGCAGTGTGTACATGACCTCTGCAAACTCCCTAAGTATCCCTTACCCCCAGCAACCAGAAGTTCATTTTCTAAGTCTATGAGTCGAAGAATAGTAATTTTAGTGAAGTCTGATTTAGCAGTTTTTTTTCTTTTATTGTTTGTGTCCTGAGAAGTCTTTGCTAAATCTAAGGTCACTAAGGTTTTTTCCTGTTTTGTACTAGAAGTTTATAAAGTTTGAGCTGTTACACTTAGGCCTGTGATTGATTTTGAGTTAATTTTTATATACACAGTATGAAGTATGGGTCATCTTTTTTTGCTTGTGGATATCATCATTCCAGTCCCATTTGTTGAGAAAGACTATCTTTTTCTACTGAATTGCTTGTTGTGCCTTTATCTAAAATCAGTTCTTTTCTGTTGATCTGTGTCTTTAGCTCTGTAATGCCAACACACTGTCTTGATTACTGTAGCTTTATAATAAATGTTGAGGTCAGTCCAACTTTCAGTCTGTTTTTCAAAGTCACTTTACTATTCTAGGTCCTTCACCTTTCCATATGAATTTTAGAGTCATTTTTAAAAACGTAAAAGGATTCCGAGACCAAAGTGTTTGCTAATTGCTGCCTGTCTTTCTATATGACCTTGGGTAAATACTTCTCATTTTAAAAGGAGGGGAAGGGAGTAACTACCTCCATAAGGTTGTAAGGATTAAATGAGTTAGTTCATGGAAAGTGCTTAAAATAGTTCTTAGTCCACTATAGATGCTCCATCAATGTTAACAATTATTATGACTATTTTCACACAAGATCTGTGAGTCAGTAGCTCAGATGACAGTAGAACCTGAATTGTCTCATTCTCCACTTTGTGTCTTAATTCCTAGCTCTTGATTCTTTTCTCAGTTATCTCTCCCCTTATTGCTTCAAATTGGTTGCTAACAGCTCCAGGGCCAAGTTGTTAGAAAAGGGAGTACTGTTTCCTCAATACCTCAATCAGAAGTTCCATTCTTGAGTCTTACGGGCCTTAATTGACTTGATTTAGATTATGTGTCACCCCTGAATTAAGCATAGATGAAGTGGGTATCTGACTGATTTGGACCTTCTTTGGGTTCACTTCTGAACCTGGAGGATGGGTCAGTCCTCATACTGTGCACCTGAGGACCCTGGGGATGGGTGAGAAGGGGACTGATACTAGGACTGCACCCCATAAGTGTCCATCACTTCTCGATAGTGTGTATGCTCTTCCCAGACATTTTCTTATTCACGCATACATATTCATATATACATGCATACATATATATGCAAGCACACACACCACACACACACACATATATGTATGTATGTATATTTGGTGATAAGAAATGATAACAGATTCCTAAGAGGGAGAATAATGACTTTTTTCATATGATTTCAGTTAATAATGGGACTTGGTACCCAGGGGGCTGAGAAGAAGAGTGCGGCATCTATTGCCTGTTTCTTGGCGGCTAACGGTGCTGACCTTAGCATCCGAAATAAGAAGGGTCAGTCGCCACTTGATCTATGTCCTGATCCAAGTCTCTGCAAAGCCTTGGCAAAGTGTCATAAAGAAAAAGTCAGGTTTGTATTGTTTATTTTCATAAAACCTAATCTGTACATAAAGTATCATGTGGTTTCACAATTAAGGACTTGGTTCTTGTCATTAAACATTTTAGTAGTTGTCCCTTGAACCTTGTACTTTCTTTCTTCTCATAATTTATGTGTAGTGATGAAATGACACCTCTTTGGAATCCATACACAGAGCTGTGTTACAGGGAAATTAATATAATGAAGTATTTTTTATTGAAGTATAGTTGATTTACAATGTTATTTTCTGATGTACAGCAAAGTGATTCACTTACACATAAGTATGCATATTCTTTTCCATTATGATTTATTATAAGATACTTTTACTTGTGCTATATAGTAGGACCTTGTGTATTTTATATTGAATGTGTGGTAGTTTGTCCCTGCTAATCCCGAACTCCTCTCATTTATCCTTTCCCCTTTGGTAACTGGAAGTTTGTTTTCTGTGTGTGTTTCTATGTCTGTTTTGTAAGTCAGTTCAGTTTGTATCATATTTTAGAGTCCACGTAAGTGATAGATGATATTTGTCTTTCTCTGACTTATTTTGCTTACTAGGTTCATTCATGTTGCTGCAAATGGCATTACTTTATTTTTTTTTATGGCTAAGTAGTTGTACATAGAGGTATATACCTATCTTTAAGTATATTCTTAAGGAACATAAAATTCTATTAGAGAAAGACAAAATGTATCTAAAAGTATATGGATAAAGGCACTGTAATTACTGCAGTGATAACTTAAACACTGGGCTGTAAGGGAAACCACTGTGTGGACATGTGAGCGCGCGTTTTCGTGAGTTTCTGAAGACTGCAGTAGAAGCAGCGTGTCCCTTCTCTGTGGCTGTAGGTGGCTGTGCCTCTGTATTTCTGTGTCGTGTGTGTATTTATGGGTGTGTTCTGCCTTTCTGGAATAGAACCTTTATGCTCCTTAAGGATCAATTTAAAGAAATGTCGAAACAGCAGCTGCAGGGACCTGTTTTTCACAGTTCCCTGTCCATTGTGGACTCTGATGATGCTTCCTTCTGTCTGTACTTAGGGCAACCAACATGGGCTCTAGGTAGGATTTTTGTTTTTTTTTTTTTATTTTTGTTTTATTCCTATGTCCTGTGTCTTGCTTAGCTGGTTCTGTATAGATAAAAAAAAGGTTCTAAGTGAAACTGTTCATGTTAGTTTTTTTTTAAGCTAATGTTTTTGACTTCTGTGTTAGAAGATTCACCCTGTTTCATTGGGTGAGGATTTGTTCAACTGAAATTTGAATCGTGCTATATGTACTAAAAAAAATGCAGAGAGGTAGAAAAATATAATATATACCGTGTTTCATATACAGATGGTAAAGCTTAGTTTTTAAACATAGCTAAAGTTTTTATGCAAATGAATGATGCTCTGGATGTTTTAAAACATTTTACTTAATGAATTTGTAACAAATATTCTGATAGGTTTGATTAGAATTATTTTCTTTTATTAGTGGTCAGGTGGGTTCTCGAAGTCCTTCTATGATTAGCAATGATTCTGAAACCTTAGAAGAGTGTATGGTATGCTCCGATATGAAGAGAGACACTCTGTTTGGCCCGTGTGGGCACATCGCTACCTGTTCTCTGTGTTCCCCACGAGTCAAGAAATGCCTCATCTGTAAAGAGCAAGTTCAGTCCAGGACCAAGGTAATGTTTTTCATACAACATTATGAAAAAAATTTCAAAAACATTACTATTTTTTGATCTTTGAGACTACAATTAATGATAAGTAAGATTATATGATGCCATGTGTCTGTTTTAATTTTGTTCTTCCTAAGCAAGATCTAAACATGGGAATGTATTATTTATACATTTATCAAGACACCAGTTGAAACATGTAAGATTAGTTAAAAATAAAGTTGTCTACTATTTTGCTTTCAGAGTCCCTTATCACCTAAAGATGTGTTTAATTCCACCTTGTGGTTTTTGTTGCTTCTATATTACACCTTTTTTGAGCGTATGAATTGTTTTGTATTCCTCTTTGTAGAAGACCAGTTGATTTTTTTCAGCAGAATGTCACATTTGCTGGATTTATTTGATTGTTGTCATGGTATTCTTTGTTTCTATATCCTCTGTATTTCTTTGAACTGGAAGTTAGATCTCACGGCTTGATTAGTTATCAACTTGGACATTTTTGGAAAGAAAAGTTCGTAGATGATGCTACTCATTTGATGTTGTGTCCCACTCTTCATTAGGCAGATGAAGTCTGATAATCCTATAATTCTTTATCTCATCTGACTCCTTTTGTTTTTTGAGAAGAAGATTCTTTTCTGAATTTCTGGTTTCTTTTTTCCCCATGTAACTTAGTGCTTTATCATCTTACTCATTTTAGTTTATGAAATAATTGATTTTCTTTAGTTTTTCTTAATGTGTATATCTGAAGTGAGGTTTAAGTTCTTACAAATAATTTCTCTCAAAGTGAGTAGCTTAAATCAAAAGATACTGTGGTTTTCTTTGGCTTCATTTATGAAGGTTATACTCTTTTTCTCGTTCCCTTGTTGTTATTCTTTTTATTTTTCTCTAGATATTTCCTAAGCTATACATTAACATTCATTATTAGCAACAAGTTGGCACTAATTCTCACGATGAACTAGCTGGCAGTGACTTGAAAGGTGAAATCTTGCCAGTGCTTCTTGCATTTTCATAGGGCTTCTTCTAAGACTGTGTTTTTTATGATCCAAATGACTATATCATTGGTAAAATTTTAGGCACAGGAAAAAGTTCCAGGAGTTATTTTTGGGTGAGAGGTATTGGATTAGTAGTATGTATGTAATTGTTTAATCTGCTTATTTTATTTTATTTTATTTTATTTGCATTTAGTGTACACATTTTTATTTAGTGAACACGGGCACTAATCAACTTTCTCTCTTAAAATAGGTTATGATAGATTTCTCTTTCTATTCTCACACATTTTAACATTTGTTTAATCTGTTTATAAAGGGAGGAAGGATATACTGGCAGCACTCGCTGAATGCCAGGCACTGTGTTGGCATTTCATATGCATTACATTGGTAATAAATTAATAAATTAAATTAATTTATAACTCTATTAATAAATTTATAAATTTAATAAATTAATGCTTTAATAAATTAATGTGAATCGCTTTACTTGGTATTTATAATTTGCTTTAGTTACCTGCTGACAGAGTAACAGTTTGGGAAAGAATCTGAAAGAATAAAAATTTAAGCTATTCTCTTGTTTTTAGATTCTGTGTATTCTGCTCTTGTGCTTGAAACTTTTTGTTAGATTAAACCCTATTTCAAAAATGTTTTTTGAGCACTTGTTTTATAACCAAGACGGAGATGTATATGATAGTTCCCCGCTATAAATTGATAATCTCTTGGCAAACTATGATTTAAGAGTAAAAGCTACTCTTCTGTATAGGGATGTCATTGGTGCTTTAAGAGAGATGTGAAGTGAGCTCAGATCCCGGGGTTGTGTAAAGCGGAGTCTCATCTTAGAACTCTTATTGATCCTCTAGTCACTCTGGTGTTTTCAGGTGAAAAAGCTGAAGCTCAAAGAAGTACAGTGACACTTGGGTCTTGAACTCAGTTTTCTTGATTCTTAAGTCCCTATTCTTTCGTCTGTGTTACACTACAAACAAAATTAAAAACAATGTCTACAAGAGAGGGTTGACAGAACAGGAAGGTAGAAAGGAAGGAATATGTTGTTATTCCTTTTTAGTCCAGTTCTGAACTCCAGGAATCAGAAAGCTTTCTGTTTGTATTTTAAGTTACAGAATTTTCATTCCTGTGCAAAAGTACAAAAACTTACACATAACCTCCCAAGAGGTTTGTCAGGTTGGTTGTGGAACCTTTGAATATATGGAAATAGTGACCCCAAGTGGCTAAAGGATCATGAACATCTTCATGAAGATAAATTGTAAAACTGTATTTGGATGAGGAAGAATAAATGAGCTTGGTCTGTTTAGCAATTAAAGAAATACAAATGTGAAATTATGAACTATTATTAACTATTCTTGTCAAATTAGCAAAAACAAACTTCAAAATTTGCTGGCCAGGGAAGTGGGAAATGAGTACTCTCTCAACACTGCAGTTGGCTGAATCACTGGGTTCACTTTTTTTTTTTTTTTTTTTTGAGAGACCATCCTGACAATATATATACAAACCTTTACAATAAACATGCTTTGATATAGTAATTCCACTCCTGGGAATGTAATCTGGAGAGAAAATCCAGAAGAGGTAACGTTTATGCTTGCAAAGATCTTTTTAAAGAACTAATAGCTGAATGGGTAAGTAAGTGATTATTACATTGGTTTGCTAGATTATTTTAACATCTTTATAAACAATTCAGATACATAGACAGTTGTGTTGGGAATCAGCACATCTTTTATATAGTACCTAACACATGATGATTCTCTGCTCCTCACTATATAAAAGTTCAACGCTTTACACATAGTATCTAATTTATTCTTTTTTTCAATGGTCACATTTTAATGTTTGGCCACTATTTAGCACATATAATTCCTACAGTATTTATATGAAGATACCCCTCACATAGAGATGGCTGAATCAGTCAGAATTCTAGCTGCTGATGTTTGGGATTTTCATTTCTTCTTTCACCCAGATTGTGCCTACTTTTCTTTTTAGCTTACTAGCCAGCAGATAGCTAACTTGCACACCTTTGAAACTTACCATGGTCCTCACCCCTTCCTTTAGAGAAACGAAAGACTTTCTTGGGAGCTGTGAAAAATATACCTGTCTTCAGGGTATGGGTCCGTTAGCCACTTTTCCAGAGTCTTCCTATTTTTGTTCCCCTTCCTGTGGTTCTGCTGGCGTACTGCATAGCGTTAGCGGCTTGGGGGCTTAAGGTTATCGTTCCCTTCTTTGTAGTCACATCTTGAACAGGCCTAAAGCCTGGATGTGTAATCGTAGACTTGGAAAGACCACCCTGGTCTTGCATCTTATAAGCTGTAGGAGGCTGACATTTGTTTCTTTCAACTGTTTTAAATCAAGTTAGAAACTTAGCAGATATCTTAGATTTCTTCTTCTCTATTCTGTACATTTTATTAGTTACCAGGTCTTCTTAAATATTTCTTATAACTCTACTCCCCTGTCTTATTCTGTCTTACTTCAGATATCCAGCGCCGCACCCCCTCCCCCACCCCCGCCCCGCTGCCAATCTGATAGAATTTTTCTAGGATATACCTGAATAAGGGCCACCTAACTCCTCTCCCTGTCTTCTAATTGACTTTTACTACCTTGTGAAGAAGGATTGTTCTTTATTGTTCAGAGTTTTTAAAAGCTTCATCTCCACAGTGTTGGTAACTTGTTAGTACTGGAGCTGGAATTGGAATCCAGGAACATAAGTTCTGCCCAACCACGTCTTACTGCTTCCCACGAAGTTACTGTGTCCACAGCAAGGTCTAGGTTGGGAAGGTCCAGTATTCGGTTGTTTAGGTGAAGAGGGGGACAGTATTGTTAAGTGACACAAGTAGGGGTGAATGTGTGTCAGAAGGAAGGAGAATGAGGCAAAGGTGAATGTGGAGCCAAGGGTGGTGGGCAGGTGGGGGTCAGAGAGCCAGAGCAAGCTTAAGAAATCATTAGGCCTGCAGAACGCAGATTAAGTGGAGAAGAGGAAGAAACACTGAGGGAAATCATGAGTACTCTGTGGAGGGCTGTGGCTTTAGAGATCAGGGGAAAGACTAGTTCAGAGCTCTGGGCTTCAGCCAGTGGCTGGGTGGGGGAGGGTCCATGTTCTGGAAAAGGATGTGCTAGGTGGCATTCCTCGGATGTGGATCAATAAACCCCTCCTCTTCTTCAAGCTTTAGCAGTCTGGCTATTCTGGTTAGGTTTTTATGAATGTTAGAAATCTATCAAAAAAAAAAAAAAGAAAAAGAAATCTATCATATCTCAGTCATTTGTCCTTTTAATGTTTCTTTCAAAAGTAGTTTAAGCAAAAAAAGAAAACTGAAGTCTAGTCTGTTCTCCCTGACCTTGGAGGAAGTGGAATTTTCGGTGTCATTCTTTAGGACAGGTAGGGAGACTGAAGTGGAACGAGGCCAGCTTAGCTGGGGTATTTAAAAAAATGTGAAAATAAATGACCAAGAGACTAGATAGAGGACAGAGGAGAAGCCTGTGGTAAATTCCTCTGTGTGGAAGAGTTTCCTTACAGAGGAGCAATGCATTTGGATACAAAAGGAGCTGTTAGAGTCACTCAGTTTATTTGTAGATGTTCACGCTTATGCTGTACCCTCTTTTTCGCAGATTGAAGAATGCGTGGTATGCTCTGACAAGAAAGCAGCTGTTCTTTTTCAGCCGTGCGGACACATGTGTGCTTGTGAGAGTAAGTAGCCCAAACAGAACTTCCTTAGAATTATCATAAAAATAGAAAGCGAAACAAATTATATCTTTGAATTTTTTAAAAAGGTAACTCATGAACAGAGGAGTTGGTAGCCTCTGGGACTTTCCATTTGTTCTCCGCACAAATGTCACCACTGACCCTCCTTAGTTCCCAGTGTTAGCGAAGGCTGGGTGCACTGCATTCCCCCAACTCAACTTTTTATTTCATTTGTGTGTGAGCACAAATGAAATAAAATGACTTCTTGTCACAGGAGGAATTTGTTTCAAAATGAACGTTGAAACATTTAGTTTTATTTTATAAAACATTTAGAAATGTTTTATTTTATGCATGGCCTTTTTCCATGTATAAAATGAACACGTCTTCATTTGTCTACACCTTTGTGGAACCTCCTCCTGTGTACACTCTCCACTGCTGAACCACTCACAGCAGCCATTCGGGGCAATAATTTCTGGCCTTCTTAAGCTTCCTTAACCTCTATGTCAAAAGAGCTTATAGAAATCTTTTCTTTATGGGGGTAATATTAAAATTTAAGAGGCGTTTTAACCTTTGCTTTTACATATCTTCCTTGTTCTTTGCAAGTTAATATATTTAGTATTAATGTTCTCCCTTTTAATTTTTACTTGTCAGTGAAGGATTTTAAACATGTTTAACAGTTTATACTTAAATGGGCCCAAGCTAAAACATGGTATTTCCTCTTATGAAATAGTTAAGTCACTTAGGTGTTGGTTTTTAATATAAAATCTGACAAAGTAACAACTGTGTGATAGATTAATCTCATTGGCATAGATTTGCTTTAAATACGCATTGGGGGGTTTTTTTGGCTGCTTTTCAACTAAGAAATGATCAAGGTTTTCTGCTATAACATTCTGCTCCAAGTTAATTGTTTCTGTTTACCAGAGACTGGTAAAATGGCTGTTATCAGCTGTCAGAGGCCAAGAAGAAAGAGAATTCTGTCTTAAGTAAAAAGAGCTTAGGTTATGCAGGTTTTCATAGCCCAGGAATTAGCCAACATTTTCTGTAAAAGGTCAACTAGAAAACATTTTTGGCTTTGTGGGCCCCGTGATTTCTGCAGTAACAACTCAACCCTTTCCAGCTGCTTACCTCTGCCATTGTAGTGCACAAACAGCCTTAGACAGCATGTAAGCAAATGGGTGGGACTGTTTTCCATTGAAACTTTATTTATAAAAACTTAGTGACCAGTTGGGTTTGGCCTGCAGTCTGTGGTTTGCTGACCCTGTCATAAAGCTGGTTATAGTTAATAGTTGGTAATGTGGACTCTAGAGCCTTAGTGTAATATTTTCCCTCAGGAATTCCCCAAAGTTTTTACATTATTTTTGCTTTAGAATATAATGAGAGCAACTGCTGATCTTATTGAGTTGTTAATTTGTGCCAACTATTGTAATCTCTTTTTGAGTATCTCCTTGTTTATTTTCATAAGAAACCTAAGAAGTTGATTTCTTTCTCCATTTTACAGACAGATTATTGTTGGTAAACATATATTTGCTAGGGAGGCTGAAATGGCGGGGAAAGAATGCCCCTTTCTCGAGGAGTGTGTAGTACAGCATTTGGTCCGGTCTCCACAGCACAGTAATCAAGGAAGGAGTTACAGCCCTTTGGACAGGCTGAAGAAAGACTTTATATCAATAATATAACAACCTAACTTAATAGTTACAGGAATTTGAAATAATTTGTTGTTGTTCAGTTGCTAAGCTGTGTCTGACTCTTTGTGACGCCACGGACTGTAGCCTGCCATACCCCTCTGTCTTCCACTGTCTCCTGGAGTTTGCTCAAATTCCTGCCCATTGACTTGGTGATGCTATCTATTTGAAATAATAGTGACTACGTATTACATACTCAGGCTGTTAAATTATAAATTCAAGAGAAAAAAGTCTGTCCTCAGATTGAAGACAAATCCCAAACCAGTTGTCTGCTAGCGATAGCTCCTACCTGGTTCATCTTGCCTAGGCCAGCATCAGACCCATCTCTTTTTAGGCCTTGGCACAAGATCGACCTTGACAGAGCATCTCTGTCCACCAGCATCGGCACGGTTGAGAGTCTATGACCCCCTTGTCCACAGTGGTGATTTTTTATTTCGTTAAGGTTTACTATTGTATAATAAAGATACCCTGCCACAGTTTTTGTTATTTTTCCTGTTTTTGAATTGACAAAGATACTTGGTACCATAGGCTAAGATATGGAGTGTACTTTTATAATAAATGCTAATGGGAAAGAATGTGTTGAAGCACTATGTATTATTTTATATTAATAACTTTAGGTGTAACATTAAGAGTCCATAACATAGAATTGTGCCTGAGAATTTCTTCTTTGAATGGGAAAGCATTCTACCTCTAATATAGAGGTATTAGAAAGATAGTCCATTATGATGAATTGTCCTGACTGCTAACATTAAAAAAATATTCACTAAGCAATTTCCTGGTTAGATTGCATCAGTTTGATAGGAGGAAGAGAACTGTATAGTATATTTTAGGAATTTAAGAGACTAGTGATAAAATACTTACAAAAGAAAGTAGTTTTTAAAAATGTCATATTGGCAGCCTTATAATTCTTGTTATAGTAGTTAAATTCATGAAAGGTCTCTCCCTCCTTTATTCTTAAGCCTTAAGATCTTGAAATATTTATGTTACATATTTTTAAAAAATGTTGACACTTCCCCTCAGTTTATTCCAGTATATTAGAAAATGACGTTATTTTCATAACGATGGGCTTTCTACTTTAGAGGCTGCCGATGAAAAATATGCTTTCTTCAGTAGATGACATCTTGAGAAGGTAGAATCGTGTATCGCTGTGACTAGTGTATCTCACTGTTAGATGAGTGGAGGATGGCGTCCCCGCTCATGTTTTCTTCTGTGAGACGTGTTGTGTTGCCATTTGCAGACTGTGCCAGTCTGATGAAGAAGTGTGTGCAGTGTCGGGCGGTGGTTGAACGAAGAGTGCCCTTCATCATGTGCTGTGGAGGGAAAAGTGCAGAGGATGCCACCGATGATATCTGTAAGTGGGTTTTCTTACTTTGTTGGGACTTTCATAGACACGTCTTCTCATAGTGTATTGTACTGTCGCTTGTAAAACAGAAGGTATGTGACTTGACTCTACAAGGAACAGGTATATTATAGGAAACCTGAAATTGTATTTTTCTAACTTGTAATATTTTGGAGCTTTAAGCATTAGTCTTTTAAGGAAATATCCTTGTGTGTTTTATAAAAGTATTGTGTTCTTAAAGATACTTTGGCTATTTTTAAGATGAAATTTATTGCGTCTCAGGGCAGGAGGACATCATGTTACAAATTGGTTTTTCAGTTTACACATGTATTAACCTTAGTCCTTTATGTAATAGGTTTACCTAGTGTGTTTGTTTTATGAAATAGTCTTTATTTGTGACAGAGTAACTGTAGATAAACGGAAGTGTAACCCAGTGAACAGTGGAAAGATGAGAAGTAAGTTATTTACCTTCAACCTTTCTGTACAGTTGACCCTTGAACATCACAGATTTGCACGTGAATCTTATTTTTGGCCACATCACGTGGCTTGCGGAATCTCAGTTCCCCAACCAGGGATTGAACCCAGGCCACAGCAGTTGAAAGCCTGGAATCCTAACCACTAGGCCACCAGGGAACTCCCAAAATGTGGATATTTTTTAGTAGTAAATACTATGGAACTACATGGTTTGTGTGTGGTTGGTCGAGTCTGGTAATATGAAGAAACCATGGATTTGGAGGGCCACTCTAAGTTATTTGTTGGTTAACCCTTGTGTTGTTCAAGGGTCACCTGTAGTACAGTGGTATAAAAATAGTTTTCATCTCTGCAGAAGACGTAAACTGTATGGTCTCTTTGATTTCTTTGTTCTGTGTAGGATGAGGAATAACATTAGTGTAGCCACTTTGTTTTTATCACCAGTAGAGCAGGGTAAAAATCCTGGGGACAGATTAGCTAGAGTGTAAGTCCAAGTATCTGGAGAAGAGGAAAAGTGAGGTGAAAAATTTCCCTCCATTGAGTAGGTATCATGGACCTTTTTTCACGGAGTTCCTCATCTCAGATCAGTAGCAACAGGAGAGCCTTGGAAAACCTGGAAGTCTCTTCGTAGTGTGGATTATTGTCCAACTGAGTTAAACGTAATTAGAAATTAATGTGTAAACCTGTTTCTTTTTGAAGATTATAAATGAAGAAGTTTAACATGAATTCACTGCTGTAGCCGTTGTTCACGTGGGAAAAAAGTTTTTTAAGAGCATTTGAATAACAGCATCATGTTTTTAATAAATAAAAGTGATAATTTTGAAATTAAAAAAATCAGTTTTGCTTCACAGCAGCCGTAACATTGAGATTCTTTGTGTGCTTTAGCCAGTGGGAATATTCCGGTGCTGCAGAAGGACAAAGACAATACCAACGTCAATGCGGACGTGCAGAAGCTGCAGCAGCAGCTACAGGACATCAAAGAACAGGTAGTGGCGCTTCTCCACGGCCAGGAGCGACTCCCAAGAGCACCAGTGCCTCTTTTTCTAAAAAAGTACTTGCGTTGTCTGTAGCAAGCGTGGTTCACGTTAGCGTATCACTTGCAGTATTTGAATATTTGCAGTCAGCAAGATCTGATTCAAGATTTCATCAAGTACTTGACAAAATGGGAAATGCACCACACCCAACATGAAAAAATGCTCCATCACACTTCTCCTGTCAGATTGAGGGGGGAAGTGTTAGAAACTGTCAGTATCTAGTGTTCAAAGTACATAGCAGCTGCAATTCACACAGTGCTGATGAGGATATTATTAGTAAAAACACTTTGGGAAAGTTTGGCATCATTGGAGAAGGCAATGGCAACCCACTCCAGTACTCCTGCCTGGAGAATCCCAGGGACGGGGGAGCCTGGTGGACTGCCGTCTATGGGGTCGCTCAGAGTCGGATACGACTGAAGTGACTTAGCAGCAGCAGCATAAAACTAAATAGGATTTTGTTTGGGGATGAAAACTTGGAAAAAATAATCACACAGATAGTGTTTAAAATCAAAGGATGGTGGTTGTTTTTGGCTGGGACATGGGGGCAGTTTGATGAGTAGTGATGGTTCCATTTTATGACCTAAGTTATTTACTTACATTTGATTGGTTTGTGAGCTTTTATTAAACTATACATTATGACCTGTGCACATTTCTCCATAGATGTGATACTTCAATGTAAAGGAGAAAAGGACACACACACACACCACACACACACACACACCCACCATACACACACACACACAAGGACACACACACCACCCGCCATACACACACACACAAGGACACACACACACATACATACACCCCCCCACACACACAAGGACACACACACCACACATACACACACACACCACACATACACACACAAGGACACACACATACCACACACACACACACGCAAGGACACACACACACCACCCGCCATACACACACACACAAGGACACACACACACCACACATACACACGAGGACACACACACACACCACACATAACACACACACACCACCCGCCATACACACACAAGGACACACACACACACACATACATACACCCCCCCCACACACACACAAGGACACACACACACCACACATACACACACACACCACCCGCCATACACACACACACACAAGGACACACACACACATACATACACCCCCCCCCACACACACAAGGACACATACACACACACAAGGACACACACACACCACACATACACACACAAGGACACACACACACCACACATACACACACACACACACACCACCCGCCATACACACACACACAAGGACACACACACAAGGACACACACACACAAGGACACACATACACACATACATACCCCCCCACACACACAAGGACACACACACCACCCGCCATACACACACACACAAGGACACACACACACACACCACACATACACACACACAAGGACACACACACACCACACATACACACACACAAAGACACACACACCACACATACACACACACACCACACATACACACACACACAAGGACACACACATACATACACCCCCCACACACACACACAAGGACACACACACACACACCACACATACACACACACACAAGGACACACACACACATACCACACACACACACACACACACCACACAAGGACACACACACACACCACACATACACACACACACAAGGACACACACACACCACCCGCCATACACACACACACAAGGACACACACACACAAGGACACATACACACCACCCACCATACACACACACACAAGGACACACACACCACACATACACACACACACCACACATACACACACACCACCCGCCATACACACACACACAAGGACACACACACACACACATACACCCCCCCCCACACACACACAAGGACACACACACACACCACACATACACACACACAAGGACACACACACACACCACACATACACACACACACAAGGACACACACACACACACACCACACATACACACACACAAGGACACACACACACAAACACACACATACACACACCACACACAAACACACACACCACACACACACACAAACACACACACACACACCACCCCCATGCACGCCCTCCATAAAAAAGGCAAGGGAAAGATAAAGGTTAAATTCAGAAAAGTGGTTATCAGTGAGGAGTGGGAAGGGCATATTCATGCCTAAGCTGAGTGGTGGTTATTTGTTTCTTTATATGTTATATGTACCAACAGAAGTACTCTTTCATATCTGCTTAATATTTAATAAAAGCAGCATTAAAATGAAGAATTACCTAAAACTTATAGGTTCTGGTTAAAAAAAAAGTCTTTTTCCCCTCTTATCTTACCATTTGAATTAGCAGTTAAATCTGATTTAATTCAAAGGGTTGAGCACAATGGGTATTCTTTAGTTGGCAGTCACATCAGTGTTGCCATACAGTTAAGAGTTCCACTCTTATCTATCTGAAGTTTTTTCTTTTTAAAATAATCTTTATGGCCATATTTCATCACTAAAGTATTTAAATAGTTAAAACTCATTTTGGGGGGAATGTTGAGGTTTCTTACCCCTTCAAGGTTACCAAGAGAAAGCATCTGAATAAGTCTCTTTTTAAATTTTAAGTCTCCAATCTCTCTCTTACCCCAATGTCTCTTTAAAAAACAAAAATTCATTTTATATGCTATTAAGGTTATATTAATCCAAAGTAACTTACCCTCGATTGCACAGATATGTTTATTTTTGGAAATAAGAATTATTAATTAACTACATAAACCTCTGGGAAGTTTAATGAAAAAGAAACTATTTTAGTTTTAAAAAGCTGCTTTGGCTTTTTAAAATAAAAACTGATTTTTCTATCCCTTTTTTTCTCAAAACTTCAAAGATAAATGTGAAAATTTACCTTGGAAGAATGGAACCAGCAAGTGAGACTGTAGTTCTTTTTTTCTATTGTTTTCTTCGCAATGATTTCTGATATTGTCAGAGTTGGTAATTACATTTTCCTATAGATTTTAGGCCTGATTTATTAATCTGTACATTTTTATTTAATTATTTCATTTCTGTGTTATTTGGGAAAGGTATAATTCAGAATGAAGTATTAAGATATATTATTTTTTTGTAAATGTAAAATGTGTTTTGTGAGTGTATGTGTGATTTTTTTTCTAGAAAATTTCATGAAGTATACCCCTGAATTCTTCTAAGTTGATGAAGTTACATTTAGCAATAGCTAAGGTTAATTGTTTTTAACCAGAGGGTCTGTATTGAAGGCAGCGCAGTGTGGCTTCATGTCTAAAAGCAAGAGCTCTGGGGCCACATACACCCGAGCTCACATTCTGGCTCGTCTTTAGCCTCACTAAGGCTAATGCCTTTAGCCTCACTAAACCTCAGTTTCCTCTTTTGAAATGAGAGTGATATATGCCTTGGGCCTGGATCACATCTAGCATAGTGCTTGGTGTGTGTGTGTATGTTCTTAGCAGTATCCTCCACTGCTTCCTGTAATACATTGTTATTTTCATACAAGAACAACCTGGTACCTAGAGTTGGAGAATCTGGGTCAGACTGAATGGGCTATTTTCATCCTTTTCCTATTAGATTTTGACATTTGCATTTTTAATTTTATGTACTATTTATTTTATATAGTGCCTTTTTAAACTGACCTGACAGTACAGCCAGTGTTTCTATTTTTATAAGGATGCTATCTTAAAGATTCAAAAATTTAAAAATGTCCAGCAGCCAAAGATTATTTGACTACAACAGCAACCAAATTAATGACGTTGCAGAGTTGTCAGATTACACTTTCAAACTAGAAAGTAGCTCAGCATTTATTACTTTGTTTATTATCTCATATTGCAGACAATGTGCCCTGTGTGTTTGGATCGTCTGAAGAACATGATCTTCCTTTGTGGCCATGGGACGTGCCAGCTATGTGGAGACCGGATGAGTGAATGTCCCATCTGTCGAAAAGCTATCGAACGGAGGATTCTTTTGTATTAACTAAGAAACCCCCTGTGTTCTGTTAGCTAAAATATTTTGGCCATGAGATCTTAATGAGCTTTTTAAGCTAGTTGAAGGTTCTAATGAATTAATTTTTAATTTCATAGTTTCTTTACTAGAGTGTAATTAGGCTCTAAACATACCAGAACAACTACAACAAAAGAACTCTACAAAACAGTGTTTGAAGCTGTGTATTTTGTTTTTTGTTTTCCTTTCAATTGAAACATCAAATCCGTGTAATTTATATATAATTTGCCTTCTGCATCTAAGGGAGAAAGTCCTTTAAGGATCTCCTCTTATTTTTTGTTTTCATTGCATTTTCTCTCATAGTTTATAAACGTTGTTAGACCTCAAAAGATATACTTCCTTTTGGTCAGCTGTCTTTCAGTTTATCATGATTTTTACAGTGAGTTGACACAGGTACCCAGAAAGGTCATGCATCATATGAAAGGTGCAAATCAAACCATTATGTTTCATATGTTAAACGATAAAATTATAGTACAAGTTCTGCATGGTTAAAGGAATACTGAAGAGAGGATTCTCCTTATAAGGTAACATAAAGTTATCCAAATGATTGTCTCTAAATTCTTAGAGTAAATGGAAATACAGAATGAGAGAATAGTGACTTTGCATTCAGCTTATTTTCTGGATTCAAAGGAAAATTGTTTCATTTGTTTCAAAATGACTGAGACATAAAAAGTAAAAATAAGCAATCACAGTGGGGAATTGAAGGCAGGACAGGTGGGGGCATCCAATAAAAGAGTGCCTATTAACTGTTATAATTGCCCTTCTTACATTAATTTTTACACTGTTTTGTTCAGCGAGCTTATAAAAAAAATGACTCTGAAAAATGGGCCGCAGTTTCCCCTGTGGTTACTTATTCAGGCTTGATCTGACCAGTGAAAAGGTATCACCCTGTTTGGGCCCCCAGGGTTCAGTTTAACTTTTCCGATGTGCGCAGTAGCAGTAATCCGGGAAGGGAAAAGCACTGTCCTCAGTAAGGCAATGGTCCTTTCTCCTCTGCCTCAGTTCTGCCAGTGTCACTGTTTCTGTCTTCCTCAGAGGTCTCGCTTCCATTATCTTTCAGATAGTAGCGCTGACTATAAAGAAAACAGTCTCTCATCATACCTAGCAATGGGGATATTATTTAACCTGCTGGCAATATCCAAGACCTTGTAAATAACCGATGATAGACACTTAATTTAGAAAGAATGATTAGGACATTTACAGAAATATGTCTGATTATCTGTGTTTTTGTGTTGTTTTACTCTGGAGCATCTAATTATTTTTTTCTCTTTCAACATCTGGAATGAATATACACATAAGTAAGTGTTTTGGGGTTCATTGCTGCTAGATTGTACAAATATCAGCTGTTTACAGTAGTATCTACTATATGTGTATAAGTTTACTCCTAAGGATAAGTATCTTTTTTGTGGGTTTTTTCCCCTTTGACTCTGGTTCTTATTTTAGTTCTCCTGCTGCAACAATTAAATTTGAAAGGTCTCTAGCCCTCATAATATCATGTTTCTGGCTCATTAATGGCTGCTGCCTCTGCAAGTCCTGGTGAGAGCAATGGTGCACTTTGCTGCCTTTCTAGTCTTGGTAATTCCATATCTGTGTTTAGTGGAGTGACTTACCATTTAGAACAGTAAAAATTTTTATAAACTTGAAATTTGAAAATTTATATTAACTCTCCTCAGTTACCTAATAACAGGCTACTGAGGCTGTTGTTGAAGCCATATTTTGAAGTTATAAAAAGATAGCACATCTGTCCAGTGATGTTCACTTAAAGAGACAAGACTGTTTTCTTTCAGATCTGTAAACAGTGTAAGTTAGGGATTTCCTTCTCTTCCATACCGAGTGCTGCCCATCTCTTTTCCACAAGGTTGATTATAAGCAGGGAGCGCTTGGCTGACTCGTGCATAGCTTGACCAAACAGAGAATTGTATAGTCCGGAGCTTTACTTCACTTAAATTCTTGTTACAGATCTTCTGAGCTACAGTGCGTAAGCTTACATCCCTAAAAGGCAGTTTCATCTTCCAGACTAGCTTATTTCCTCCATATAAAAAATATAATAACCTGTAAACTATTATAAAAGTCATAAAGTCACTGTAACTGTAGTGTTGTACACTTGTGGATTTTCTCCATTTGTACCACTTTGAAATTTGTCTAGTGAAATTGGTCTCATTCATGTTTTTAAGCACCTGAAAAAGAATTTTAAATTTATTTTTGATTTGTGAGAGAGAATAAGTTTAAGAACTTCATTATTTAAGTGACTTTCCTCTAATTCTGTGAAACTGCTACCTCTTAATCATACGTCTCAGCAGCGCTCCCCGCTCGGGTGTGTCCTTGTCATGATCGTCTTTTATCTTGTGCCTTGAAGGAGTTTTTGCTTTTCCAAGAATTGTTGCAGGGGAGGCGGTGCGGAACCACCAAAACTGACATGCATTCACTCAAAAACGTATTTATTGGGCTTCAGGAGCAAGATACACAGCAGTGAAAAAATTGCCAGCTTCTAAGCACATACAGAATTTATCATGCAGCCGTTGCGTATTTGAAGTATTCTTTTCAAAAAGAAGGGATCTAAAGATACTGATAACATTTCTTCCTAATGTTTTGGAAGAACTGTCATTACGGTTCCCTCTCTGTACCCTCTCACCTCTACCATATTTTTCTTTTATCCTAACATTGTCAGCTTTGTGACCCAAAACATACATAAAACTTAACCAGATGGTGCTATTCTAATAGTTTTCTTTGCCATAATTTAACATTCTTACTGTTTATACCATAAACATATTTCATTTTGTTGGGAGCAGGGAAGTTTTTCAAGAGAAGATCATTTTGTTGTATTAGTATTGGAATATTATATTACACAAGTGTTTTAGTTTAGCTGGCCAAATTATGCTTGGTTATTTGTAAATTTAAACATTGCAGATTGACCATCTAGCTACTGAGGCATAAAATTAATTGATAATGTTGAAAATAACTGTCCTAAATTTATGTTTTTGATGGCTTTAGGCTGTAAGAGCATTTAGCATATTGCAATGCATGCTGCTTAAGATTTGTCCAATTCAAATTTCAAAGCTTGCTAGGTCATTTTTACATGGCAGAAATAGACGGTCTTGTGTTGCAGTGTTATGTGTTGCCCAGTGCTGTTTTTTGTTTATTGTGAATTTTGGACCCTTTTGGACTAAGAATTATTTAAACTTATGAACTTGGAGAATTGGTGATGAAATTGGATAGGGGGGATGATAGGGATTGCAGCAAGTAAAAAAAGAAAAAGTCAGTTTTTGAGTTTAGAGAAAAATTGGGATCATGTAGATTTTATCAAAGCGGTAACTATAGAAGTATATTCAACTTTCTCATTTTGCAGAGTTGAAACTATACCCATTAAGCAGCAGTCCTCTTCTCCCTCCTCCAGTGGAATAGAATTTTGATTAAATATAAATGGAGAAACACCTGAATATCTTAAGAGTTTGTATTTGCAAGACCTACAGTGATGGTGAATAATCAAGTTTGGGGAAGACAGAATTTCTCTTCTCCCTCCCAGTCATCATCAGTCGTAATTGAGTAGGTTTTAAATATCTGTTAATTAGAAGGGTTTATTTCATTTTGAGTCAGAGGGGAGAAACACACTTTAAACATTGTAATTAGGTTTGAATTCATACTAAATTGAGAAGGTATTAGAGCTTCACAAATTTTGTGTGCCATGTTGTTGAAAATGTCAAGTTTTCTTTAAGTCTACTTGTAACTGTTTTCAAGATTTTTTTTCTTTCAAAAAGGCATCCTAATTTTATTTGCTTGAGTATTATAATAGGAATGCTTACTGATATAACTTGATGAATCATGTATAGCCTTGGAACTTTTACATATATGTAAAACTATAACAGTATTAATTACAGTTGTACTTCTTTAAAACACTAAAATTGAGGAAAAGCTATTTAATGCTGTCTCATGTATACATTGCTTTGTTACAGCAAGGGGGAAATTTTTTTAGATTGAGCCTCAATTTGCTGGTAAGTGGTTAGTGGTGAAACTAGAGTATAAAAATATGAACTAGATAGTAGAACTGGTGAATTTAAATTGTAAGTTGCTACATTGGCATTTTCTACCTCCTTTTCTCTCAGAGTATTTTCCAGCATTTATTCATATTTGTGACTAAGGAGGAGATGGAAACCTGAGGTTAAAATTGAGATTTTTATTTTGTTGAGGAAGCAAAGGTGACTTGCCACATCAATTTGGTGCCTAAATCCGTAACTACAAGTTACAATTAATATGAAATGTGTAAGAGAGATAATATTGCTGAATATATTACTTTTCTTGTGCAGTCTATTTAGTTTTGTTTCATAAACATGACTTCTTCCCTCCAAAAAGCAAAATGGTCTTGTAATCTTCTATAGAATAAACAGATGTGCCATTTTGTCTGAAATCAATAATTTCAGGAAGTCATTGAAAGTTCTGACTCAGGGCTTTTTAACAGTTTAAGCAATTGTTAGTTTTATTTTGGGAAATCCATCTACATAATTCTTCAGTGCCTTGAAAGAATTATTAACTTGGCAACACTACTAAAATTTTATAGAAGGTGGTCTTTGGTGTGCGTTTATCATCATACACACGTTGATAAGTTGTATTTCTTAGCTCATGTAATAGCGATACTGCTTGTGTGCTGGGTTTGGGTAATTCTTTAAAGGAAGTTTTTTTAGATTTGCACTTGATCATTTTTTTAAATGCATTATTTATGGCCATGACACAGTTACCAGGAAAGTACTTTTATGTTAAGTCATTATGCCAAGTCATGTATCAGTAGTACCTGGGAAGAGGAGCTAGAGTTCATACCTTTTGCTATTTTAGCAAAAAAGGAGAATCTATTTGGAAAACAGACTGTCTTCCCCTCAAATGAAAAGAAGACCTTTTGTTTAAATGATTCAGTTAAAATTTTTTTTTAAGAAAATCATGAATTGCGTGTCACTCTTTAATGCTGGTCTTACTTAGACTGAATT